CATATTCTCTCTCATCACATTCATGCCCTATAATTCTGTTTAATTTTCTCCAGGGCTATTATTAATTAGCACAACTCTGCCCCCTGCCAACAAGGTTTATTTTTAGTCACTAAAATGTAAGCTCCAGGGAACCTTGTCCCTTCCACAGCACTGTAACCCCAAAGCCTAGAACAGTATTTAGCAGAGGCTCAGTAAGAATTTGTTGAATGAGTGGATACTGCCCCAATGTCAATCAGAATATCAAGTTCAGTAAAATATAGTGGTTTCATCTACTTTGTATCCTATCTACTGGGGGAACAGGGACAAAAAATAGATTTCTTAATCTGTAACCACCCAATGCCCTGTCCATATGATCTTTCAAAAGACAAATACTACTGCCCATGTGATCTTTCAAAAGACCAATGTGATTACCTTAATCCTCAGAGAATACATCAGCTCACATGCATCCCTGTGGTCCACTAAGTCTGAAATGATCTAACTCCCGACGACCTTGCCATCCAAACCCTGCGCAAACTCCTCCACACGGCACACCTTGTACTTCAGTGACGATGGATTCAGCTTCCCAAACACTCCCTGCTGTTTCAAACTTAAGCCTTCCCATCCACGCCTTAGTCTGCCAGTTTCATCCCAATGAGTTAGTGAGAGAACTCAGACTTGTAGTCCCAATGAAACAGATCTTCCTTCTGAGTGATATCTATCCACCCAGAATTTTAACAGGTTCCATTACAAAGAGGAGGAAAGGAGCGAGAGAAATACAGTGTCTCATTACCACTGAACTGAAGTAGAGATGTGACAGCTACTAGGCGCACTGTACAAGCGTGGAGAGATAATGAGGGCCCAGGAAGGCAAGCAGGGAGAACAGGCAGAGACAGAGAGAAAGAAGGCAGACGAAAACTGAATGGAGTTAAGAATCAAGAAGGTACTATAAACAATGTTGGAAACAAAGAGAAGAGTCAGAATGGAGGATTTGGTTCCAGTGATTAATCCGATGGAAGCAGTAAAACATTTTAATTGTCATTTTTATTCTGGCACACACCTTGATTGTGTTCACTATTCAATACAGCAAAGAATGCTGCAGATATTTCAAAATAATTCACATTTCTGATAGCATTTTGTAACCAAAAATGAAGGCTATTCTATGAAGAAAATTTATATTTATTGGCAACATGACAACAAAAGAAGAAATTTCCAGATTTCCTTACTTTTGGCTTATGAAAGGTAAAAACAAAAACAAAAACAAAAAGTGTGTAAGTCGTAAACCTTAACCTATGTTATAGGGGTGTTAATAGGATTAAATGAATTGAAATATAAAAATAGCACCTAGAAAAATATCTGGCATATAATAAGCACCATTTTAAGTGTTCTCTATCATTATTAATATTCTCTTTGCTAAGTTCCATATTTCTGGAGCACCGAGCAAAAATAAATTAAGTCAAGCCAATTGTAGTATTAAGTAATCAGAGAAGCAAGAACAAATATTTTAAATATAGGGATAAAAAGTATCTGTGGCCAAATTTGGTAGTATTGTTACTAAGATTGAACACTTGAACATGTTTATGCAATTTTTCCTAAAGGATTTTTAAAATTAAATATGAAGAGAATAAGCATGTAAATACTGGTTGAATGATTATGTATAACTGTACTATTTAAAATGGTATATTCTATCCCACTTTTAATAAAGTTAATACAGTAAGAACAAATGAAAAATTATTAGATTCATGCTTTCAAATATCATTTATGGGTATTAAATTTATGATATAAAATATAAAGTTGTGAATAATGCTATCAAAACAGAGACATTTAAATCAAATAAGAGACACTCTTAAAATGTCTTGTGTAAGAGAAATATTATAATTCTCTTAAGCAGTACTTTCCTATGATACAGAATTCACTTCATCTCAAAAGAAATTCTAAGGAAAAAGGATCAGTTTCTAGTGTGAAATCTGAATCTGAGGTTGACTTCAAGGTAAGATAAAAACTAACATACATGGCAATAGATAAGAATATACATGATGATACACATTTAGAACATAAAAAATTCTAAACATATATTCTTTGATTCTACAAAGTACCTAAAAATGCTTTAAGGATACAAACAAATATCAATTCAGAGATTATAATTAAGCATTTAGTACTGAATTCCACTGAAAAATATTAGGTAACTAGTTAGCACATGGTCAAATTACATTTGGAGACATATGCCATGTGTATTTAAAAAATCATTGTAGGTGTGTTTTCCAATACAAAATTTCTCCTTTATCTTAGATTAATCTAAGAGAAAGGTTTATGTAGTTCCCTTATTTAAGCCAAACATTTAAAATGGCCTTTGCAAAATATTCCTACTCTAGTAGTCTAAGAAACAATAAAACAAGTTTGAGTGAAATATACAGAATAAATCACTATAGTACCATTATCATTATATGTCACTTATCAAATCCGTTCTATGACTTCACAGAAGATGTAAAAACGGACAATATTCCTTTTCTCTTACACAGTGAAAAGACTCAAGATTCTGAAAAGATATATATTATGTTCAGGGCTACTGCATTGTTGAATATTAACAGTATTCTTATTTGTACAGTATGACAATTTCAATTAAGCATGATATTCACATTTTTTCCAGATATTTAAACTTGATAAACATGAATAAAAAGGTCATTAAATCAGATTCATTTTCTTTGACATAGTAACTATTATCACCATCACCGCCATACTTGTTCTCATTCCAACCATACAAAAAAACTGGATGGAAACAATTATAAAACGTTTAGAAAGCATCCTACAACTCTTAGGTACAATTCCTTGTGTAATAATTTATGTTGTATTTCAGGTAGTGTATTTTAAATGGAGACACTTATTTCCTGATCTTTCAACAGACTGCTACTCAGTTTGAATGCTACCTTAGATGAATGTGACACCTACTGAGAGACCATCAGTTTTAAAAAAAGAAGAATTAAAAAAAAATCTTTCACCTATAGAAAACATTGATTCACTAGATGCTGAGAGGTATAGGACATCCTGCTAACTGAAATATTATGCTTAAATCGGATTAATCAGCTTCACATTTTGAGTACTGTATTCCCAAACTATTTCTGGGATGGATCATTATTCTGAGGATTATTATGAATTATACTTTATACACAAATTTGGGAAATACAGGAGATTTAGGCTGAACCTCTTGGATAATGACTCCCAGATATCCCTTGGAATACATTATCATTTGCTTAATTCTCCTAAAACAGGTGAATTATTAGAGGCTGCTTAGCTGAGTTCCAATAAACTGGTATTTAATTCTAACAGAAGAACAGCAATAGTTCATTCCTCTCAACATTAAATCCTCAGGACTCTGAATTCACCCCTCACATACAAAGACAAAATTATTTTTTAAAATCAGGTAACCCTGGACAGAACCTCCTAAACAGTACAGGTCTTTCTACAAATGAAGAGTTTAATGACTGGAAGGGGTGTAGTAAGAAGTGGTTTAGAACAGTTTTTAGTTTGCAATTAAATTTTGAGGTTTAATGCAGTGCCTGTAAATCTAAAATCTTCATTTAAAATTATTCTTCACAGACTGTATTAAAGACAAAGGCTGGCTCAAATATAAATGAGGTATAAAAGAAACATAAAAGGCTGTTAATATAAAGCATTTTAAATATTAAATATAAGGCATATTATATATAAAATATGAACAGAAAAGTTTTAAAAGTCTAAAATTCTGTACTTTGATCCATGGTACAAATGTTCTCTAAATATTGAGCTTGTGTTTAATATTATTAAATAATAACAGTAACTATCATCTATTTAATACACTATGTGACACAGATGGTGCTAGGCACATTTTGTACACGTAATCTCACTGTATCCTGACAACACTTCTGCAAGGTAATTATTATCTATTTAACAGAAAGAGAAAAAGAGGTTCAAATTATAATTACAAAGTAAAAAGAAGAACCAGAGTAGCAATTCACAAAGTTCTGACTTCAAACCCTATAAATTTTCTACAGTACCACTTTGCTCTTCACAAAACCCAGCAGACTCTACCCTCATTACTCTGCAGATTCCACATGTGCACGTCTGCCTACTCGCTAGCATGTATCTGTAATGACCAGGTCAATACTTAGAGCGCTTTCACCCTCAGTCACAGATAGAAGCCATAGTGCCTTCCGGTTCTAGCTCTAATACTGTGAACAGGTGTCCTTCTTGTTTATTTAGTGCCATGTTTTTCACATTTTTGTTCTCTTTGTTGGTGATTTACCATCCGAAATGGCTCCCAAGCACAGTGCTGCAGTGGTGTTCTGAGCACGAGGACTGTGATGTGCCTTACGGAGGAAACAACGTGTGTGAATGAGCTCTGCTCAGGCGTCAAGTTATAGCGCTGTTGGCTGTGAGTTCAATGTTAAGGAATCAACAATACATATTAAGGAGGGTGCTTTTAAACACAAATATAACATAAAACAATCTTATGTACTGATCGACGGATGGAAATGTCATGAGCAGGGGCTCACAGGAACCTAACCCGGTGTTTCTCTTAGGAGCAATGGTTCAGTACTTGCAGCAACTTTATAGAGCATAACTACGGTGCATAAAGAAAAATCCAATTGAAAAATCCTCCCCCCCGAAATGTTTACATTAATATTTTAGTAAAAGAATTGTCTTCTGTCATTTCCTTCAAAGACCTTCATTGTATCCGTGTAGTTACCACTCCTCTGAGTAAGGCAGGCCCTTTGCTGCCTTTCTGTTTAATGGGTTGCAGCTACGTGTGTTTGGCTTTGCTCGGAAAATTAATCTCTCTCAAAGGCAGCCTTGCTTTCCACTGGGGAAGTCTAAGGAATAAGCTTCACTTTTTATCACTCAATGGCATGGGTACTGTTTAAATATGACTGTTTTGAGACTATGATTTTTAAAACTAGAATGTTACATATAATGTGCACAGTATAAACAACAGCAAAAATGTAGCAAAGGAATGTAAAAATGTCAGCACAAACGGGAACTCTTACCTTTCTTGTCCAAGTCAGATATTTTATTGAAAAAAAAATTACAGTATTTAAGAATCCAAACAAGGACAATTCAGGCTTGAAAGAAAGAAAACCTGAAGGAACCCACTGTTTTCAGTAAAATTATGAATACAAAAAACATAGACCAGGAAAACAGTTTATGGCCTAATGCACTAGTTCCATGATAAATACACATATATAGTATATCTCCATCAAGTGAAACTTAATCACCTTTTTACAATTTAGGGAGGGAAGGCAGCTTTTACTATGGTTAAGTCATGTGTCATCAATACCAGGAAGCTCACCTATCAGTTGTAATAGCTTCTATAAAATACCACAGTGAGATTGCAATAAGCCTAGAAAATGGGCTACAAATCCCAGCTATGCTCAAGCAAGCAGTGAACCAAAAATAAAAATAGGTACAACTGAACCAAGAACTAGATAGCATTCATCTAGATTCATGATTGGTAAGGCAAAGTTCATAGGCCAAGGTTTTAAAGTGACTTATTCAGATCTGAAAGACAGTCATTATACAAAATAAAATGAAATCATTTATGTAATGCAGAAAAAAAAGTCGTGGATTTTCACTCCAAGGACATAGCACAAAAAAGCTTACTTACAATACCAAACACCACATTATTGTACCTCTAAAATATCACTTTTAAATATGCAAAGGTAAAGAGACTCAAAGTTGTACTTTATCATTTTTAATCCCTCCAGTTTAGACAAGCAATCTAAAAGATGTCACACATTCCCACTTAATACATTTGCTGAAATCTTTCAGACTGTAGTAATTTTAGGTAAAGGAAATGTCAACTTTAAGTTTCTTTTCCGATCATCATATTTAAGTTAGCCATTAAATGCTGAATTAACAATTAATCCATACAGTAATATAAAAATACATGTATTAAATCACAGTATTCATCAATTATCAGAACTTAATAAAAATATTAATCATTTTAATATAACCATTTTGAAGAGCTCAAATGGCCTGAATGTAGGATAGTGTCTAAATTACACCATCAATAGAAATGTACATTATCCCCTTTGCTGGTGAAACTGAGCTCATGCAAATATTTCTGACACTCACGGTGACACATAGGATGTGCCATTCTAAGACTGTGCAAGCGGCTCTCACTTTTAAACAAGACAATGTGATTCAGACATATACAGTAATTGTGGAAATACCAGCTTTCACATGATTTCAATAAGCTCTAAGCCAAAATTATAATTTTGAGTGATTTCAGTATCAAAGCAGGTCATTTAAAAGGTAATAGTAAATGATTCTACTAGCACAAACTAGTTATTACTGTAGTTTAAAACAAGGATGATTTTTGCAGTACAATGAAAACTATACTATAAAATACAATGGGTTTGTATTACAGAGCAGATTTTCCAAGTAGAAAGCAAACAAAATACAAACTCTAGCAAAGACCATCAACCTTACCTACTACTCATCCTAGCCCTTGTTAAAATACCCTGAGTAAAATTCAAATATTTTAAATAATGCTGGTTATATAAGACTCTAAAAATGAACCATAAATGTCAATGCATCATGTTTTTTTATTTACAACAGTTGGTTATGTAAAAATAACTTCTTAGCCAGTCACAATATAGACAGTAGGAATACTTATGTGAGATCTGGAAGTTGCAAAGTTTCTACCTTTTGGCAAAGCAAGTGATACATAATGGATTCAATGTAAAAAAGAATCATAAAAGAGAAAAATATATAAAATTTACAGTAGCTTCTACCCACCCTTGGGCCAACCTAGATTCCTAGAAAGCCTCCCCAACCAGTTCACTTCTGACTAAAGGAAGAATGCCAGTCCTCCAGCAAAAACAGCCCCATCTTTTCATCAAAGAGGGTCCCACTTCAATGATACTCCTCCAGGGGAAGAGGACAGGAGCCAGGTTCCCTCGAATGTCATTCCCCAGATGTTCAAAACGTAACTAATTTATTAGCATTAGAAGATTTGGTTTATAGGGGAATCTCACTGGTCCAGTTTGTAGCCTACAAAAAAATGGATTATTTTTAAGTATAACATTAGAATATGAATAAAGGATGAGGATGTGGCTTTTTATTCCATAGAAATGGGTACATTTCTAAACATGACAATTAAAAACAAAAAAGCATGCCTACCATTGAAGTTGGGGTCCCTCCAGATTTTTTAATATTCTTAGAAGTCATTCCATGAAGGCGACTGAGTCTAGCTTGGAAACCTGGAAAAATCAAAGCATTCAAATTAGGAGACTCTATGATTATTGACGGATACAGTGAGTTCCTATCACTACAGAATTCCAAGTTGGAGAGGGAAACATCTCGAATAATAGTGGGGAAAATATGAAACTCACACTTAATAGAAATGCTCAGTAGGGTTTTAATGTGTTCAGCACACAGCTATCAGCGATTCAGGCATTAAGAGTATTATTGGCTCTTTCCTCCCAGTTTACCTTTTCTATCATTTCAACAGTTTCACAATGGCCCCAGGAAGAGAACAAGTCAACCTTTTAGTAATTTGAAATCATGATAAATGTAACAGCCAAAGTACTCTTCAACATGTTTCTTTGCCACATCTTGTATTTAGATTCTTGCATTTCCATTTTACCCTATCCTCTTCCAACGAACATTCCTAGATTGACCACAAGCCACTGTATCCACATGAAGGCAGTACTACTGACCTCTTCTTCCCGGATGCGACATAAGGGGGAAAGAACCAGTTAAGATACTTTCAAAGACAGGATCTGGTAAATTTTTGTCTAGCTTGGTAGGATCTTCCTTCTCCCACCAGGGCACTACTCCAGCGATGCCACAGGCTCCGCCTGATTCCTTTTCATAAAACCAGTCACTCTGCTCATCATCACCTGTGTAAATACAAGACATTTCCCAAAGATTCAGCGTTGCCGTGCAAACACACAGAGTTCTCAGATTAGATTGAAAAAACACACTACAAAAATTAAGCTTGAATTTTAGGTAAATTTCTGAGATAACATATAGTGCTCATATGAAATTTTTAGTATGTCTAAATTCTACATGGGACACACTTACACTAATAAACTTTTATCTAAAATTCTAATTTCACTGGGGATCCTGTATCTCTTCACAAATACAATCTATTCAGAAAACTTTTTTTTCTATACTACAGCTTCACCTGAGAAATGTTTTTAAACACAGTAACAAGAACTGCCAACTGCAAAACATAAAATGCTGTACTTTAGAACCAATTCAAAAATGTGAAAAACAATAATAAACTGGCTAATCTTTTGGCAAAAAGTGTAGGGAAATACATTTAAGTTACTACCCTTTCCACATTAAGGAAAAACAAGCCTTATTCTCCTGCCGGGAATTGAAAGGTATAAAACTGTGGAACCTGTTCTTTGCAGCTGATAATGGTATATAATTAGCTTAATTTCATGATTTGTATGTAGTATAAAGAGGGAAACAATCATGAACAGATGTGACTAAATGAAATTAATCTGATTAAGTTCATTAAGAAATAGTTGTGAAAAAGTTGATTTTAAATGAAATGTGACAATACCACAGAATTTACAAGTAAACTATACCGGGCTACTACAAGCAAGGTATTTTCAGAACAGAACACTATTTATAGTAACTTTAACTTTTGGGAACAACCATGAGTATAACCATGAGTAATGATCAATTTAAAATTAAGTTTGAAATGTGTCTTTGGTGTCAATCAACAGCATTTTGTTTTTCAAAAAGTTATCATAAAGCGATGTATACAGAAGGTGACAGGCAGGTGGCTTTAAAAAATAAGAGACAAATAGCATTTTGAATATGATGTGAGATTCATTAAGGTCTTCTTCATGATTCTTAGAAAACATAATTCTGGTTTCTAAGAGGGTTATCACAAATGCTATAAACTTTTTTCCTTTAGAGAAAGATTTCTGATTCCAAAGTCCCTTACTGCAAATTATTTTTAGCAAACTAAAAAATACCTTACACTTCAACTGTAAATGATTTTTATGGGAAACAGCTCTATTTCAAATTAGGAAGGAATGAAAAATTTAAAGGATTTGGAAAACCAAGGTCAACTGTTTAAATTGTTAATTAAAAAAAACATGTAATTGAAAGCACATAAATACTAGCCTTTTTACTGAGATTTACATAAGCACAAAAAGGGCAGTCAGTTGAAACTGACTACCCCAGATCTTAATTCCAAATGAGAAAACATTATTATAGAAGAATGAGGCTAATTTATTTTTTGTGACACACAGCTTTTTATTCTTAATGGAGAAATCAAATAGCTAAAGATCAAGAACTTGGGCTCTAAAGTCAGACAGACCAGTTGGAATTCTAGTGTTTTGCAATACTGCAGAAGTTATGTTACTTCAACTCTATTAGCTAAATTTCATCTTCTAAAAAAAATAAAGGGAAATCTCATGCTTTACAAATAACACTTAAAATAAAATGTAAAAATAGCACCTAGTGTGAAATATAAGTAGTTCACAGTAAACGTTAGCGTATTATTCTAAGTGATTCAATGTTTTTCAAAGATTGATAAACTTGTAAGAAGTTTTTTTAAAAAGTTTTTCCATTTCATTACCAAATTCAATATTTGTAATGTAACTTTGGGTAGAAATGTATTTTAATGAGAATTTGGGTTTACTATCAAGGAAGTCAAGCACACTCTTAGCCCAGAGATTCTAACATAACTTCAGCCAAGTCTCTTAAGGTTAGAAAGTCTACAGTCTTTAAAATAGCTATGTGCATATTTATCTGAAACAATTGGTTTTAAGTAAGCAAAAAAGATCATTTATTTACTTCACTCATATTGTCAAGAGTATGAACAGACTATGAAAAAAATGTGTGGGGCAGGTATTATTTCATTGTTTTTTATTTCACAACATCACTAAATTATTTATAATTTAAAATAATAGATTTTGTTTTTTCCCTTAATTCTTTCTGCTTTCCTCTAAAGATTCTCAAGATATGAAAAATTGGTGAAAAATATTTGTATGTCTGCTTCCTGCCCTTTATTAAGGGATTCATGTTTTCTTCCAGAACAGGTACTTTCAAAATAATGCCGTATTAAAGTGTGAAAAGCTTCAGGAAATTTCAAAGATGGAAAAGCACTTAAGTTGTAAGACATTAGTGTTTTAACAGTTTACGATACTGAATTTATGAAAATTGTCTAATAACTTACAAACTGGATAGGATGACAAAATGTCAGAGCTGAATATAAATGACAAATGACTTACAAGTCCACCCTTATTGATGCTTAAACAGTACTGAATACATTTGGAATCAGGTGGACAATGAGAACGTGTCTTGTGAACTTGCTAGAAGAGGCAGTCTGCAAAGACGTAGTAACGCTTGCTCAAGGAAGGTAGGAGGTAACAGTTCCTTAACATTATTGGCTCTACATGCTAGCTTTTGGAGATAATCAATTACTTTAGGTCATCAGAACAGGATACCTTTCAGAGCATATACAAGAACTAAACCCCAATCCACTCAGTAGTCGATATAACTGGATTGCAGTCATCAACTTAGGAAATAACTAAGAATGGGCACAACTTTAAAATGAAGATGTTTTCTCAAAGAAATAATAAAAAAAAAAAAAAAGACATTTCAGTACCTTGTCTTCCCTCATCATTGGTAAACAAACCAGCATCAGTGCTGCTGAGACTGCTGGACTCACTGTCATAAGGGAAAAGAAAAAAAAAAAAAAACAGATCAAAAGAACAATTGATCTCTCGGTCGTAAAATTTTAAAGAGACATAGCAGCTCAGAGATGGAATTTAAGCCAGACAAAGATCTGAAAGAAAGTAAGATGATTTTTTAAAAATCAAACTGCAAATATTCTGGTTCCATTAACTACAGAGCATAATATTATTTTTGGCACATAAAACCACAGGAATCTAATGGGACCCTGACAGTAAGCCAGATGTGACTGCCACAAGGTGCTGACACAATTGATGCGTTTTATTATCTGCTTGCATCAAACGCTCACTGCTCCTTTCTTATGCCACACAATTCAGTTTGTGCCTGGACCACCACTGCTCAATAAAATGGGAAAAGTCTCTATCAAAAGCAGGCTAAGCCTTTCGTCAGCACATGAAATACAGGGTCCTGGGATGAAATTACTTTTCACAAGCACATCTGCAAATATTCTGGAAAAAACATTACTTAGGAATTCACAACAACTCTACTACTTGGCGAGGAAGAAAAAAGTTTATAATGGTAACAATCCATTAAATCAAAATTAAGATCGCTTTGAGCAAAAACTGAGTCTTACCAATATTAAGGAGGGAGTATGCAAAAATAATAGGTTCCCATAGAAGATCTAGAGTATGACAGTCAAACTTAACATACAAATTAACACAAATAGTAGGTATTTGACTGACATGAATAAACTGTCACTATTAGTTCTGATAGAAGCAAAGCTTATATGATAACCTAGTTAGTTAAAAAGCCACAAAAACAAGGTCATATAGTAGAGCTTTGGCCTCTAAAGAAATCTGATGCCCTTTAAAGATCTTACATATATGCTCTGTAATTCTTAATTTTAACCAATCAGGAAATTGCCCTAGGTGATTTTTTAAATTGTAATACCTTTTCCATTAACATGTACTGATTTGACTTACAAAAAATTAAAAAACATCCTATTCTTTTTAACATTTAAATTGAGTTTAGGATTAAAATGATAGATAAGATCTAAATCTGTAGACATTTTCTGAATACAAAATATCATAGCAGTTTTTGTTTGATTAAAAAAATACACACAGAAAGTATAACAATTTGCTAAATGTCACATTTTCTCAAGGAATTCTGAATTAGGACCTTTTTCTTTAGTATTCTTCAAATTAAGAGAACGTATGAAGCTCCCCTATCCAAGGGTTATTGAAAGAAAACAATACTTTCTAGAACATCACATTCATATTTTCAAATTTACATACATATATGCTCTTCTATGCACAGTGATGTTAAAAACTGAACAATTCAGGAACTTCATCTTTTTGCTATTTAGCCCAAAGTACTGATCTTCTTTTTTTCTTTTCTGTGACTGAGTAGTGCTTTCCCGTCTTCCCCCATCAACTCTACTTTAACAAGGGTTACATACCATGGGGGGCACACAATTTTTTTTTCTGAAACCTTTGAGGGAAAATGAATTTAGATTGAGAACTTTATTTAAAGTGTAGAATGGTATGTTCTAAAATGCCTGAGTGTTCTGGGTTGGCACTCCATAATCAAACATACTAATATATTATTTTTAGAATGCATATCTACATTAAACACAGGTTAAGTTAGGTCTGGCCACAAATGAATTAGTTATTCACAGCCTTCAGAATTCAGATTTGCAGATAAAGGACAGTGTGCACCTATACACTTTTTTAAAAAATCTACAGTAGCCTTCTAATATCCCTGAGTTCAAATTTATGTTCCCACAACCCCACTATTCTAAATACAACCAGGTTCATCTTTTCAAAATACAACTTTTGACTAAAAATATCATGGATGGGATCCTGGAATAGAAAAAGGACATTAAATAAAAACAAAAGGGATTCTAATAAAAGTATTAACTTTTACTTTAATAATGTGTCAACACTGGCTCATTAATTCTGACCATTAATTAATATGTACCATAATATTACATTATGTTAACAATAGGGGAAACTGGGTGTGGGATACATGGGGCAGGGTATATGGAAACCTTGTACTATCTCTGCAACTCTTCAGTAAATCTGAAACTATTCTACAAGAAAAGTCTACCAAACGTACATATACACATACACATAACATAATAATAAGTCTTCTTATAAAAATCTAAATTACTTCCCCACACTTTGTTGAATCAAATTTATTTAGAGTTCAAGGTTCTCCACAGGTGGGCCCCCACCTAAATTCTTCCCGTCCCCATCTCTGGTCCTTCTGTTTATTTTCTATCTGCAAATGGTTACCCCTATCTCCTCTCTCTTTTCTCTCTGCCTGCCTACTCTTTTTAATGACATTAAGAAAACCAGAATTCTCCAAGACCAGCTCTTGGTCCTTAATGATCTTTATCCTAATTTGAGATATTTTTACATGTGTATTAAACATGTTCCCTTATTTATATCTCACTTCGCTGACATCTAGCTAGTTAGTTACTCCAAGTAAATATATCTTGTAGCTGTTATATCTCAACAACTTAAACAGAAGCAAGGCTTTCCATTTTCAGCATCAGCCAGCCATTATGGCTTCTTTTCTTCCCACCATTTTAGTACAACTTTTATAGCACAGAATTCAAAGGAGAATACATTCTGTAAGTGCTTGTTGGATTAATGTACACACACTCATCCCAATGCCCTGTCCCAATTGGTTCATTCCCTATAATTTCCATTCTTGAAACCTGAGCATCATGAGTCCCTTTTCTCATTCATCCTCCCAAATACAGTCAACCTTTCATTGATTCCAACTCTTAAATCTGCTTTCATATTTTTCCCCTCGACTATCACTGCCATAATTCACCTGCCACTTAAAGATGGACTGGAGATCAGTCAATGCTAAACACAACACTGTTGTCAAGTACACATTGTTTTGATAAAACATAAATGTAATTGAGTTTTTTCACTGTTAAAAATTTTTCACTGACTTCCCATTTTTTATATGATGAAATATGAACTATTTATTATAAGACACAAAGCCTTCAGGATGTCCTTATGGCTCTAGCCTCAACCCCCACTTTATTTTCTAGTAATAATGAACTACGTGTACTTTCGCAAATACATCACACTTGCTTCATAATCCATGACTTTGCAAAAGCTGTTACCTCTACTAGGAATGCCATTTCCCTCCCTCCCCTTCACTCCTCCAATATCTGAATAGAGCTTAATGCTTGCTTTAAATCACAGTTCCTTTAGGAAGTCTTCCCTCACTAGTACCTTCCACTCAGCACATTTTATTTTCATCATTTGCTTGTCTGCCACTCCAGGTTATGAGGCTGTAGAGAACAGGGTGTGTCTTATTATTAGTCTTGGTACTGTAAGTGAATACACAGTATTTATTCAAATGTTTGTTAAATCTCTCTCTCTCTCACACACACACACACACACACACACACACACACACACACACCGAGTGAAACACTTCAGTTCTTACACTTTTTTATAAACCAGTTTCAAGGAAATATGCAGCTTGTTACAGTAGCAAAGCTTTGGAAGTAGTCTCAGAACACTTACACTTGTTGGGAAAATGTATTAAATATTTAGCAATCTTCCACCAGAAGGAGTATGCACCTAACTCTTAAGTAACAACAAAAACAGTTATATAGGTAAGTTTAAAAGAAAAGAAAAACAACTTTTTAAATTTATTCAAGAGTGAAAACGTCCAGTGAGAAAATTGGTACTTGGGCTGTTGATGGGCTGGGTAGCCTGATCATGCCCACTAAATACTCAAGTATGTTTTTACAATGAAGAGAAATGAAGAGAGTTTTATCTCTTTCTTTTCCAGAGTCAATCAAAAGCAGACATCAATAAAAGGAGGGGTTTGCACAACTAATCCGGCAGATAATCTGAATCCAGAACTGAGGGCTTCTCTCCACTGCCAAACACCCACCCTCTCCGCAACTGAGCAAGACAGTTTCAAATCAAGCTAAGTGGTCCTCAGTTACAAAGGCCAAATACCAAACAGCATATAAATAATTCTCATTCTGGCATTAAAAATGACAACTTTCTTGGAAGAAAAGCAAGTACTATAAACTTTTCAAAGCTTTCCTAAAACATTTTTTGAATTTTTACTTGCTTAGAAAAATTGCATGAATAGTAAACTATTTCTAATAAAAGGTTCATTCTACAAACTTTTACCAAAGTCCTATTCATGTCTATAATTATATTTACAAGCAAAGAAATACTGTATCTAGCTAGCTAGCTATCGATATTAGATCCACAGCTCACAGTTCACATGATTAAAATGATACTAATCCTACCAATAAAAAAATGAAATACTCCTTCCCAGACCATTTTGAAGGAATGCTTTTTTCTGGTAGTTGTGCATTTGGTTTTATGGACATGCCTGAAAGGATGAACAGTGTCAATACTTCCTCATTTCCTGAAAGTAGCATTAGTTTCACGTAAAAAAAAAAAGAAAAAACGATCACTTACCTTTTGATGCTGTCAAAACAGACCTTAACAATTATCTTTGTAGTATCCGTGCTTTTAGAATAGATAGATTAGACTAACTGACAAAGGATCATTGCTTTTCCCATTTGTCTAATGACAAGATCAGGTGTTTCTAGACTATAAATTAGGTTTTACAATTCATAAATGATCAGAATTCCTAGCAAACTACAGACTTCTTACAGTATCAAATGACACACCCTGACATAGCATCAACTTTTGATTCTTAGGAATCAAAATAAACCGATAAACTGTGACACTAAAAGCACCAGAGGCCAAAGCTCTATAATTAAACAAATAAATAATTATAATTCCAATTCTAAGAGTTATAAATGTGCTGTTATTAAAAAGCACATTCTTCCCCATTGAAAATCTATTTCCTTTTCTCTTTTATAGCTGAAAATGAAGTCTTTATAACACAATCGAAAGACTTTGTGTAAATCAAATAAGCAATTTTGCTTCATGCTGAACACTGTAAATTATAAGGAAATATAACTATGGTTAAACAGTAATATCCCCACTACCAGCATTATAATTTATAGTTACTTTAAAATAGAATTGAAATGCAAAACTCATTTAACCACAAACACAGGCTACAGAAATTTTTATATTTAGAGAATATAAAAGTCACCTTTCACTCATGAGTTCATCTGAGACTTTTTGCTCTTCATATTCCATTTTGTCTTTATTGAACTGGCTCATTTCCTCACTTTCTAAAACCACTCCTTCGTCTTGGATTTTTGGTCCTTGTCTAATTATTTTCAATTTCCTTTTTTTGATTTTGTTCTTCGTAAACTCTTGATACTGGTAAGCTCTGTCATTGTCCATGTCCTGGTCTCTACAACCTTCCAGGGGCTGGGTCATCGTCCGCTTGCTGGCAATGTCGTGGGGCAGATCCACCGCCATGCGTTTTACCTTCCGCCTCCGGCGCAGAGTTCGGTTCCCGAGGCTGTCCACAGCGAAATCAGACTCGTGCCAGAGAGGTCTTTTCCCTCGAACATTATTATTTAAGTTTGATGACGGCCTGCGCTTTGCTACTAACATTTGGTCATCAGAGTCACTAGGATCTTTCTTATTGTTACTGTGATTCTCTCTATAGTCCTTGCTTGGTTCTTCTAAACTCGAATCAGAGCCTTCACTTAAGCAGTGACCAGTCTCCCACGGGTGATGAACGTTATACGACCTCCGTTTTCTCCCCCTTCTTTTCCTCGCCTGGCGTTTCAGAGGGCAAGAAATACTTCGAGAATGATCTCCGGTCTCCGCAAATCCGCCTCGAGCTTGCTCAGAGCTCTCCTCCAGTGCTGAGACAAGATCGTGAACCAGTTCTTCCATGGTTCGACTGAAATGCCTACATTTTTTAAAGAAAAAAAAATTTAAAGAAAATAGTATTAACTGTATTAGCTTAGTTTATCACAGCAGATAATTCACTCTAAATCTGACTAAAATTAATAGTTATTATAAAGAAATATTTAAAATCTATTTAAGGTTCCTATCCAAGATATTACAGTTTCAAATATTCTGACCTATTTTTTAGCACCTTTTTCTTGTATAAGTTCTTTTATTAAACACAGGAATTACATCTAGACTAAGCATAATATCAGCAATGAAAGACCCTAGTAATTTTATATTTTTACTGTGTAATTATAGAATAGTTATCTCTGCTTAAATCACTGTTCATTATTCTATTCCTGTCCCTAGAGCCAGTTTTTACTGGAGTTTATGTTTAAGTCTAAGTTTCTCTTTCTACTAGATAGCAGGTAGAGAGAACGTTCTCCAATCTTCCCCCATACCCCCATTTCTAAGTGAAGAAGAAAGACACACAATCCTCCACCCACCCCAGACATAAACCAGTCACTACCAAGTAAATGAAGCAGATGGAAAGACAGGTACTTTCAGGATTTGTAATACAGATAAAAAGGAAGTTTAACTAAATACTAGGTATATATTTAGGCCACACTAACCTCATAACCCAGTGAAGCAGAAACTATGTTCACACTCAAACTGGAACCTCACTGGTCTAAAATGGCCCATCATTTTTCTTGTAATTCATTCTGAAGCAGTCTCTTAGCCTTTTTGTACATAACAAAACATATACAAACAAAAACCATGGAAGTACATTACTTGTGAGAAAATTAACCACGAGTCAGCAAGGAAAAATATCAGCATTCTTTGGGAACTTTTATAAATTATACTGGTCATTTCCCAAGGCAACTAACTCCTCAAGATTCAAAATCAGTTGGTATGACAGAGGGCTCAGGATTCCAATTTTATTTTTTAAACATTATAGGTAACTAATTTATGCAACTTTCATATTGAGGTAGTACAGGGACATGGGAAAAGCATCATGATTAACTTTTCCTGCCTATGATGAAAAATGCTGAGATATAAAAAGTATAGTAAGAACAGGAGGGACCCCAGCTTAAGGCTAAGACTCCATTTTAAAAAGCAGAGTTGAGAAGTAAAATTCCTAACATATTCTCTGGTAATCAGACAACAGCCCAACAGACTACCTTAAGGCAGGGCAGGTAGTCTTAAATGTTATGTCCCGACGTTGAGGGTAACCACTAGCTTGGAGAAGAACAAGATAAATAAATCTCTTGTGTTGGGTTTATTTAGCCAAATTAGCTGGAGGACTGATCATAGAGGAGAGGAGGCACGGTGTCTCTCACCAGAGAGAAGCATCTCGAGACCACAAGTCAAGCCTACGCCCAACAACCTCCCCTCCGCCTTTTGCCCCATTCTTGAAAGCCTTAAAAGACAGAATCCCCAACTTTCCGTGGGCCTCCTCTCTGAGGACGCCCGCACTTTCCTTTCTTTCAGTGCATACTTTCAAATAAAGCTTTCTCACTGCTTACATTATTTCGGTTTGTTTCTTCGCTATTTCGATTTATTTCCAAGTCTTTCTCTCTGTCTCCACTTTACTCCTGATAAGTAGGAAGGGGCTGCTGAAAGCTCAGATTTGGACCTGCATGTTTCTGTTGCCTGGGTGACCTGGTCAAAACTGCAGCTGTACGATATGCTCTTAGGAGCCTACCTGAAAATCTCCTCTCTTTGAGAAGTTCTCAGAACATAATTTCCCTCCATACCGTGCTCTGCAGCTCCCCAAATCCTGGAGTGGTAGGGGCTAGTCCCCACGCTGTGCCAGTCCAGGCAGACACAGGATGCCAGGTGACTCTGGTTTCAGGAGTTGGCAAGGGAATCTGCCCTAGGTGGAGAATTTTCCTTCTTTCCCTCTGCATTTTCCTGTTCTCTGCTGCCTGCACAGAAGTGCCGGTCCCTGCTAATTCCTTCTTAACCTACGCTTGTCTGATCTGCTCGAGAATTCTTTCTCATTCAAAGTCAAGAACCCTCTCCCGTCCAGGTTAAGGTTTCTCTTCTGCTTCACCTAGTGTGCAGGGAGAGACCTCCGCAGATGCAGCTGCCCATCAACACTATGAAGATGATGAATTTCTCAAACTGAGTTCTAAAAGCACCAAGGGATCAAAATATTCTCAACTGTGGAGGATTACATAATTTCTAGAGTCTGCAGCATGGGTAAGCACACTTTTCAGTAAAGGGCCAAACAGTAAATATTTCAGGACCCACAGTCCATCAGGTCTCCGTCACAACTACTTAACTTGTTGCCATTGTAAGGTGAAAATAAGGGGCAATACATACATGAAAAGGTATGGCTGTGTTCTAATAAAATTTTATTTACAAAACCGAGTGATGGCAAGCTATAGTTGGCTGACCTCTGGGTTATTTAGGCTCTATAGTCTTATAATTTCAGGCATTTGCAAGTTCCCTCTGACAACTTTCAACTTTGTCTCTTTATTTTAATGACGACCAAAAAACAAACACACACTGTACTTCTACTGGATTTGCCACTTACAACACCATGCACACACGGAGCTTCTAACCTTTAAATACTTACTATGGGTCAGGCCCACTTCCAAGTGTTACCTCATCTCATTCTCATATAATCATCCTATGAGATGGCAGATGAAATGAGAGAGAGAGAGAGAGAGAGAGAGAGAGAGAGAGAGAGAGAGAGAGAGAGAGAGATTGATTAAGAGCAGCCTGCCCAGTGTAGCACATCTGCGAAATGGTAGAAACAGAATTCAAATTCTGGCAATCTGGTTCCAGAGTCTGAATGTTCACCCAACTACAGCCAAGATCGGCTATGTCATTCCGGTATCCAGTTTGCAGTTTTGTTTATGAGTGATTCAGCGCAGGTGGTACTATTTTAATTGTCAAGACAGATTTAATATACAACTATGTACAGCCCAATGACTCACAGTGAGGCATATATTCCTTGGAACAGAAAAAAGGATGGGAGATTTAAATCAACACAAGGCACAGGCCAGCATAGGGGGTAAAAGTGAGCTGAATTAAAAAAAAACAATGTTGTAGTCATCAGTAAAATGTTCACTGTGGACAATTAAGTAACAGGACATTGCCCTCCAGTTAATGTGGGTTTGTATTTTCCAGACCAATCTCCTTTTTGAATGAATAAACAAAAACTTACAGGTACAGACATTTTTCAAAAACATGGTGATTTTAGTTTTTATTTTAAATGAACTCTGGAGGGCTACTGAGATTTCTTTCTTCCTTTAAAAGGGTTCTATTACTGGGGTTTCAGAACACTACATTTGACTAAGAGAAATATGTATAACATAGGAATTAGGCTAAAGTCAAAACCAGAGCTACAATTCTGACTAAACTGATATGCCAAAAGAGTCTTTTCTCTATTACTTGTATGTTAATAATTGCTTTTTTGTTTTCCCTTTATTGCAATGAACTTCTGGTTCTTTTCATTTGATACTATTTATTTGTAAGGAATGTAATCTGAAAGACCTACTACTTCTGAATATAATATAGCACGTTCAAAAAAGTTCATTGGAGGCCAGATTAACATATATTATGGTAAGCATCTTTTTTGTAAGAGAAAACTTGGAATCACCTGGTTCCCAAGGAACTTACTTTTTGAAGATATGGTTTTCTCATCATGGGTGCATAACTAATTCTAAATATTAATATGAGATTAACTGCATGAATATAATCTCCAATGAAAATTGCAGGTTAGTTTGGAAGTTACAATTCAGTTTAGCTTTACTTTACAAGAGAAAAGTTTGGTGGTCTTAACATTACAAAAAGGTTATGCAGCACATCAGATTCAATCTAGTGAAATTTGATACTCTTCCATTTACTTTAAAAGGGATTGCTGTCACTAATACAGTTTAATAAGATATAACTGATAATAAGACTGAAAGCAAAATTTCATTCTAACTCAAATTGTGTCAACCTTATTTGACTTTATATTGTTTTTCTCAAAAGAAAATTAAATCTCTTTGGAATACTTTAACTAGAGAAGTCTAATTTATTCCATGATTTTACTCAAATATGAATCACCTAAAAGAACTACTTTAAGAGGTTTTAAAAAAACAACTCTCTAAAAACAAAGAAAAAAATACATTTAATGTAACTGCTATTCAAATTACTTTTTCCCCCTTCAGTTTCAACTAACCAGACTCTTGCTTGTCAATCTCAACCAAAACCCCTGTTAATGAGCCAGTAATATAGTCAGTCAGGCTGCTTCACTGAACATCTCTCAGGAAAAAGTGAATCAACTGGTCTCAGAAATAAAGTCATTGTAAGAGACCATTACATGATTAATAGCTCATTTACTTCCTTTGCTTTTCCAGTTATGTTGAAAACCACTATACTGAGACACTTTATCCTAAAAATATTTTCTTAATTAAGATCTTTCCTGTTGGAGGGGGGACCTGCAACTACATCTTTTCTGTATAAAAATCTGTTTATTAAGTACCCATAGTTTTACAGTTTGAATTACAGTAAAATCCATTGAATTACAATTTACCTAATCTGAAGGTTTTATATTTGCATTTCTCTTCTCTTGGAATTCAATGGAAATGAAATCTTTTGGGAGTAATTTGAGTGGGTATAATGTCTAAGATAACAGTTCACTAGCAGTTTTCTTAAGATAGTCCAAATGAATAAATTACAGTTCCGCTATCTATATAAAGTTGATTTTGTAAAAGGAAATGAGTTGAGTAAATAAAGACTTTGGTTTTTTTTCAGGTGGTATTAGATAATGCAGGGCAATATAAAATGTATGATCAACCCCAAATTTGGTATGCCCATTTTAGGTGAGAATTTTTGGCCGAAGGTCACGTCTGTTTGCTTGTCCTCCTTTAGACAATACTGAACATCCACTAGAATGACTGAATTGTCTCCTTGGCTCCCTTAACACCAAGTTCTAATTAATCCACAAAAAGGCTTTCCTAAAAATATATTTTTGAGAGTGGGGAAGATCAATTAGTGTAGAAAACATGGCACTGAGTCTAGGGTTTTCTTCCAAATGTTTTTACTACGAAGAAGAATCAGGAAACTGCCTCAGTCCTAAGGTCTGGCAGTTGACTGATGAACCAATGACTCTTAAATGGTATTCAGCAATATGTAGACAGTCACAGCAGGTGCTGAAGCTCAAGAAAGCCCAGGTAATAGATCCCTCCAATAACAGCCAACTATTTTGTCAATGACTACTACTTTTTTGAAGTAGTTAGTGCACTGTTTCTGTACACATTGAGTTTTTATTCATACAGAAAATAACACATAAATGGCTATCCCCATAAACTTTTGAAAGCTGTTAGCAATAACTACTATTCCTAAGAAGAAAATATACAGCACATATAGAAAAATTAGGGAATAATTTCCTTGTTTAGATGCTGATAAAAAAAAAACCCTATATAAAAAGAGGATAGACATGTGTATCTACTGAATAAACCCAGTAAGTTCATTAAAAACAAATCAAAAATCTTTCAGATATAACTAAAAGGTAGTTGACTACAGCTATCAAATATCTAGTTAAGGAAAAATAGATCAAATACTCTTTTATCACCTACGTCATGGCAAAATTCTCATTTTCATCTCTGTAAAACAGGGACTGTCATTTGCATAAAGTACTTTTAGAGTGGAAATGCTAAAAGTAAGCTACCTGTTGCTACATACAACTGCTTAACTGGCTTTCAAAAACGTCAGGAGGAAACTGTACAGAACATGAGTTTAGAGCAAACCTATGAATGTGGAAACTAAATTCTACTATATTCATTAGTCATAGGACCTTGAACAAATTACTTATCTTCAAATTCTCATTACTCATCATAAAAAAAGGATACAATTTCTACCTCTTTTTTTGAAGGGATTTTGTGTGGATGAGAGTGGGTTCCCATTGTGTGAGAGCAGTTACTTATCTTTCAACAACCTCTACACATAAATAAGAGAAACTAGCCATTGAAATATCAAATCATGCTGCTTTTAAGGTACAAATATACTAAGAATCCTGAGGCTATCATAATAAAAGTGAAGATCGTCAACCTTTCTGATTGCTTGAACCGAATAGATATTTGCAAAAATCCTGCATACAATTTCAAGAAATTCATGTACTCTTACGGCAAACCGCCAAATCTCAAGAAAAAGAAACTTTGTCTCATTTTTTTAATAATATACTGATATAAGAAAAACAGAAAGATTAAAGAAAATCACTCTTCCAAGTTAAGAGTCATGGGGTTCTCCATCAAACAGAAAAACTCATTTCCCATGAGAGCAGAACCTCCACTGACTGCCAGCAGCTGCTTTTGTCACCTTTGTTAACACAGGAACACTCTGAAAGCCTCCTTACCACAGCAACTTGGCAAAAGACAAATCATACATGGCTTTAGAAAAAAGTCTAATTCTACTTTCCAAATAGTAACTGCATAAGGCAAGTTCATGTATTATTTAAATTTGAAGAACACTCTTGATTTTTTTGTGCCATTTAATGACTTCAACAGTCATTCAAAACTGTCCTTACACTCAAATCACTTTCAAAATGTAAACTACTGAATAAAATTTGCCTAAATAGTCGGAAGTTGAAAACAAAAGTAATTCAGAATCTAAAAAATAACTCATTCCAATTCTGTAACATGCATATATCAAGTGCATCTAGGCAAGCTGCTTGTATGTAGGAAGTGAGTCTCATTTCATTGCTCATACATGGTAACTACTCAATGTTTATTGTATATTCTGAATTCCTAGAATAGGAATGAGAATGAAGGCAGCTGAGTATTAATTGCAAATACCTAGCATAATGCTTGACATATAAAGAGGTTTAAAAAAATCTATTGGATGAACAAACCAATAAATAACTAAATGAATGAACAAATAAAGGAAAAATATGACTTGACTAAAAATTTAGATAATCCAGATTTCAAATTTTCTGCCATACTTAAGTACTATTAACTTTTTAATTAAATAAATGTTGACAGTAAAGGGTGAATTATCAAAGATGGTTTAAAGGTGTCCAGCTCGCCCTAAGTATGTATGCTAAGAAGCTACACCAACATTCATGAGTTACTTGGCCAAACTCATAATGGCCATTGCTTTGGCCTCTAACTATAGTCTGACTCAAACAAACCTCACAGTATGAAATTGAGTTGAAGACAAAAGACCCCCCAAAAAAGCAGTTATTTAAAAAATGCACATCTTTCACTATGCAGTTTTCTAGACCTAAAGAAACTCAAAATACCAAATAGGAATGAAACAACAGGAAAAAGGTCTAGAATCAATAGTTTATTTTTAGTGGCTTCTTAGAAAAGCAGAACCACATAAAGTTAAATAAATACTGTAGATCAATGTATCAATATTGACTCAATATTTTTACTATCAAGGACTTAAATTGTTTAATTCAACCTTTAAAATCTTTCAAGAGGCCCCCAGAAATAGACTTCAAATATGCATCACTAATAAAGGAAAAAGTAATAAAGAGAAAGTGTATCTAAATGTGATTTTTCTATTAAATGAATCAAATTTTTAAAAGCAGGTTGACTTTGTAAGTACCCGAACAGATACTTGTTGGGCCCTCATTTCAAAAATGCATGTGAATGATGAAGCAGGGAGGGGAGATAAACTCTCATTACAGCAACTTTATATAATATGAACCACTTATCTATGAATAACTTGCACAAAAACTAAATTTCTGACACACACAAAAAATCACAGCCTTTTTATTATTCAGTTGTATAATACTTTTCTTCGTAGGCTTTGAAGTCTGAAAATAAAATCTCAGTTTTACTTTCAAAAACACTGTTAAAAGATCAGTCATCTACATTTATGCATCTGGTGCCTAAGAATTGAAAAACTAACCTCAAAATTAGAGATAAAGTTAAGATGGTAGTTTACCGTGAGTTTTACATGAGGAATTCAAGGCTGGTATACCAAATCTGGGCACGCACTTTCCAGTTTATATATTTTCTGTGATATTGTATCTTAGACACATAGGCAGAATACCAGAGTGAAGGATTTTTTTTTTTAGGTGTACTGGAATCATACTGCAAATATGACACTTGGGCAAGATATTTAAACTGTATTTGCTCCTGTGTCACTACCCTAAAATGTGAAAAAAAAAGATAGCACCTGCCTCAAAAGATTTATGTGAGATGATACATACATGTACATAAGACCTGGCACTTAGTAGCATCCCTTGTGGTGCTGGAATTTCATCACTGGGATAAAACATACATGCATAGTGTAGTAAATGTCCAATCAAAGGATCAAAGAGAAAATTCCATTATGAAATTCTGATAAAAGGATGATTGTGCAGAGAAACTAGAAACTAGTTTCCAGTTTTCCTGAACACATTTATTCTGCTAAATCTGGCATGGTTTTAAGAATGTCATTCAAAAACTTTCCTCAGGTGCTAGGCACTACGTTGTCCTCTGGTACCGTAAGAAAGGATTAATTCTATGCCAACAAGTGAAAATAAATTAGGCTCTTTTAAAGAGAACTGAAGGACGATTTCTCTACATTATAAAGAGGTACCTGGCTATGATTTGGGTAGAAGGTGGAAGGAAGAGGAGGCAGATGAAAGAGTATTTTTTAATTAAATAGTCATCTCACCTTACAAATAATTATCACAACAGCAAGAGCAGACCAGTCTACACAGCACATCGTCTCCCTACCTTACCAAGATATTAAATGGTGAAACATTAAGAAAGGCATCTTTCTGATGATGGAAATGTCCTATATCTTGTTTTATGTGGTGGTTACATAGCATATACAATTGCCAAAACTAAGAATACTAAACCCATAAAACTATGTGCTTTCTTTTAAGCTAAATACACTACCATAAAAAAAGGCTAATTAAAAAAATGTTTTTCTCATTAGAAAATGTGAGAATGTTAAAAGGAACACAACCAACTCTAAATTCATTATAAAATGAATGATAGAATGATCTGATCTCATTCAAAACATTTTAGGAAAGATGTTCTTTTAACGTTTCAGTTATACGTGATGCAAAGAAATTCTTTGAGATCACCGACTACTAGAGTTCCCCGTGTTCTCATTTGTTACAGATTCTAGGAATGGATATGCACTTTTTAGCCACATTTCACTTGTTCAACACTACATGTTTGAGAAGAGTCAGTGGAAAATTTGCTTATTTGTTTCACTGCTTCTCCTGTATGCTTGGAGAGAGAAAGGCTTGGGTGAGAAACAGAACAGGCATTACAGAATTTTCAACTACAAATTCAAAACCCAGTTTCTAGCTCGAGGACTAAAATGTGCGTGGCAATTGTGAACAAGTCACTTAAGAATTCTGTGCCTGTTGCAACCTCTTACCACTGGCTGTCATAAGGATAAAGCACATGACTTTGTGACAGCAAAGTCAAAATAATGTATTATTCTAAAGGTGCATTGGTGATATGATACTGTATGAAATCCGAAATTTAACCTTAGCATTTGTTTTATTCTTAGGGAACACCCATAACACCTCATTTGAACTAAAATGTTTAAGAAGCAGAAACAAGTGAGTTATCCCAATCCAAAAAAAGGGGTGGGAGGGTGAGGTCCGTTCAGCTACTAAACTTCCAGAACTGCAGATTTCTGGGATTTGATCTTCCAAGACATTGGTATTAAAAAGGGAAGTATTAAAAAGGCCTATATTAGGATAAATTCTTCTGTCCCTAGTCTTGTCAATAATCAACGATGAAATGAATTGCTCCTGGAGTACTCGAGAGCTTTACTCCCAAAATATCGTAGAGTGCAAGACAAGCAATCCGCAGGCATTTACTGTATTCCTTCGCAACTCTTTAGCACACACCTCAACGCTTTCCTCAAACTGCGTTCATCCCAGGCACGAAGGAGAGCAAGGCCTAAATGTCTTCAGATCATCCATCACAACTCCCCCCACCTTCCATTTCCAGGTCCAGCGGCCTCCGGCCATCACACCCTTTCCTGATCTCCCATCCCCAGGGCTGCCAGCCTCACCAGCTGTTCCCGGCTGCTGGAGCTCCGATCGGTTGGCGCCCGGCGGCCCCGAACATTAACGACACCCAGGAGCCCGGCCTCCAGGCTCAGGCCCGAGCACAGACTCCGACTGCCACAGCACAAGCGACTTCCCACCGGCAGTTCAGCATTTTGAGCTGAGCTTCCGGAAGCAGGCGGGAGGCGGAACCGGATACCCAGAACTACCATTAGTTCTTCTCCCCTCGCCGCCGCTTTTCTCTTTTACCCTCTTCTCGCTCACAGGAGAGATGGAGTTCAATAATTTGAACTTTTTCCTACAAAAAATTTCTTAATTTTCTTTCTAGTGTCCGCAACGAAGGCAGGATGAAGAAAAAAAGTGGAGTAAACCAAAAGTTGAACCCCCGGGATTGGCTTTATGGTTTAGCCCGGTTGCCGTGGAGACCGAGAGTAACACCAGCCGTGCGCCGGGAGCTGAGAGGCTATGGCCACGTTAGCCCGGCTGCAAGCTCGGTCGGCGAACGTAAGACAGCAGTACTACTTCAGGAACAGGTAAGTCAACCCCTGGGGGATCGCGCAGAGGGGCTTCACCCTAGCCAGTTGGTCCTTAGCAGGAGTTCCCTATTAATAAATGCCCTCATTCAATTAGGACCACCCACTTCTCCCCTTAATTTGTAGGCTGCAGACATAATCACAAGTATAAAAGTAGAGCTACCATACAGGGGAATTATATATAGATAAAGGGAGACCATGGTTATTAGCTTGAGATGATTTAAATAAAAGCCTAGCTTAGGGAAAATTGTAAAATGAAGTATTGTTCCTTGACATCATCACACTACAGTTTGGTTAAACCTGTTTCCTCCCTGTTGCAGATTTAATAGCCTGGCGGGTCACCCACGCTCCCTAGCTGGGTGTGCTCAGTGTGTTTGTCCCCCATCTTACCTGTGGACTTGAGTTTTCACTATGTAACTGAACTCAACTGTTCTATGAGTTATATGTCTTTCCAAGGAGACATAGCTAAGCCATTCTGACAAGATAATCGGTATGAATATTTTTTTAATTAAAGTATCATTGATATACAATCTTATGAAGGTTTCACATGAACAGCATTGTGGTTTCAATATTCACCCATATTATCAAGTCCTCATACCCCACCCCACTGCAGTCACTGTCCCATCAGCGTAGTAAGATGCTATAGAGTCATTACTTGTCTTCTCTGTGCTGTACTGCCTTCCCCATGACCTACCTATATTGCGATTGCTAATTATAATGCCCCTTAATCCCCTTCCCCCCACTCCATCAACTCCCCCCTCCAACAGTATGAATATTTTAGTTAATAGAAGAGGGCTAAGGAAGGCACTAGCAGCTTATTCATCTCTCTGCAACCCAACTTCTTGCTTGGCAAGAGGTTCATTTTAACAATGGCTTTCTAGAAGCAGTGCCCTGAGAGTTTTTTCTTAAGAGAAACTCCAAAAAAGTGAATTAGACAATGATAGAATATACTGACATGGCAAATCAGTGGAAAATATGTCGATAAGGCATTATCTTACTAAGTTGTTCTTATTCTAACATTTATCTCACTCATTACATTCTTAGACCACCATGTACCTTTCTTACAGCGCTTTACCAAAAATAATTCAGTTTTACATTCTGTTGTAAGATAGTATCTACCAACCCTCTTAAACTAGATGTAGAGTTTCTGTTTTTACTCATTACGTCATCTCCAGTGTCTTCGTATTTCCTGACACACAGGATCTAGACAGTTGTTTGCCTAACAATTCCATACATGAATCTTTCAATCAATCATTGGTCCTGGTTTAAGTAAATGCACTAAAAATGGCCAAAAATAGAAACTGTCTACTTATTATCTATATGTTATCTATAATTATAGATGAGTTATTTATTTAGCATTCACTTAGAGTATGTGGCAGGTCGTCCTGTGTTTATGATATGCATATACAAAAGAAAGAAGCTTCATTCCTTCTGATGTTTGCAGCCTAATATGGAATATAAGAATTTAAAAAATAATTACAATGGAGTAAAGATGAACAGGAGGAGAAACAGCATTTCTGAGCAATGATTGTATGCTGGGCATTGCACTAGGAACTTTTTCATATAATACCTCATTTAGTTTTCACATTGCAAGTTAATATATTCATCTATATTTTTAGAGCTCAAGAACAGTGTTCTTTTAAAGCTTGGTCAAGTACCACACAACTTCAAAGAGACATGATTATTTCTACAAATTTCAGTGTCAACTTTTGTCTCTATCTCCTGGCTTTTGACACTGGGTGCATTTCCCCAAACTGGAGTTGCTTGGAGAAAAGAGAAGGACTATGAAAAGGTCATGATGAAAATAGGTTGGCATTCCTTCCATTTCATTTATTATTATTATTATTATTATTATATTATGATATCTAATACATTTATTAGATATTTTCAATATAAGGGAAAGTCTATAAAGATCATAAAGGAGTCAAAATTCCAAAGTTTCCCTAGTTTGAAAGAAAAAAGCAGGATATGGATAGCTTTGGGGGTAATAAAATATGAACATATATGAAAAAATAAGCAGGGTGTTTTCTTAAGAAATTATTGTCATTATTATCATTAGTTCTTCACAAGCTTCAGAACACATTACAATCACCTGAGCATCTTGTTAGAATGCAGATTCTGACTCAGTGGATCTCGGTTATGACCAGAGAATCTGCATTTCTCACCAGAGTTCCTGTGAGACTCTGTTTCCATAAAATGGGAGACTGTAGAAAAGGGGCTGTGTAGGGGCCTATCACTTAATTCTTAAACATCCTTTTCCTTTTTAAACATCTATTCCTTTTTACATGCCAGAAAGAAAATGTGATTCAGATGGAATGGGTAATTTCTGTGACATCACACAATTACTAAGTCTTAAAGGATAGTAATCCACGGCAAGGCCTATGGTCTTCACTGTGCTACTAGTCAAAGTTTTCCCACTATGCTGGACTGAGGAATTACATGGCACCAAATACCAACGTCCAGACACCAAATGGCCTGAGCATATTCCATTATCATTCCAAGTTAACTAATATTGGCAACAGAGTTGAAGGAAACAATTTTAATTCTCCTTAGTTTGTTTCAGTGTCTTCCTTCTATGCAGTGGCAAAAATGTTTCTACCTAAGCAGCTGGCACCAAAATGGGTCTGAAGTTGAAGGAAGGCTTTGTTGGGAAAATACTTCATTATTAAGTGCTTAGCTTAGCACCTGAGTCCTCCGGGTCCTGGGAGACCCCTGAGGAGGAGAGGAACTCCTTTACCTACCAAAGAGGAAGACTTTGAAACTCCAAAAAGTAAGAAGCAAATATGGTACTGGCTGAGTCGATGAGACAGCTAAGGAGCACTGGGATATTGGCCACTGCCAAACCAACCCAAATCCTCTGAAATGTACTTGCACAGGAAATGTTTCATGGATGTTCATGTTTTGGTCTACCCATCAAAGAGACTGGATATTGTGTCTACATTATTACAGGATGAAGAAAGATAGTATGCAGTTGTTTGACTGAGTATTGGCCTTTTGAAAAATATTCACTCCAAATTTCTAGTTTCATTTCTATTTTTCTTAACTAATTAGAATTTTTGGGATTTATTGGTCATTTATACTATCCTATTTGTGGAAAGAAGAGTTTGATATATGTTGACTAATCATATTGTTCATTTTCATCATCCTTATTTCAGATTTGTCTGGTTTGATCTGCCAGATGCTAATGACTGGGTTCAAAATGTCCCTCTTCCACTGAGTTTCTGTAGAGGCATCCTTTCATGTTATGTCACTTAGCTTATATGTGTGTTCTGGTGTATCTCTTCATTTCTGGATATATATTGGTCTTTTTAAATATGCAGAATGTTTCACCTTAAAATCCTACTTGTGAAGGAGGAACCAAGACAGCAGTGTGAGTAGGGCAGCAGAAATCTCCTCGCAAAACCATATATATTTTTGAAAATACAACAAATGCAACTATTCCTAAAAGAGAGACCAGAAGACACAGCACAACAGCCAGGCTACATGTACAACTGTAAAACCCAATGCCTCACAAAGGGGGTAAGATATAAGCCGTGGCCCAGCAGGACCCGAGTATGCCCCCCACCCCAGCTCCCAGCGGGAGGAGAGGAGTCATAGCAGAGAGGGAGAGGGAACCCAGGACTACTAAATACCTAATGCTACTCATCCACACTGGAGCGCAGACACACAGTGAGTGGTGTGCTGGATATCAGGGAAACGGAACAGTAAAACCTGCAAGCTGGTCCCTGCAGATGGCGCCCCTGGGACAAAAGAAAAGCGAGTGCTTTTTTAAAGTCTTAAAGGGACAGGGACCCCATAGCTGGACAGAGGTGTCCTGGGACACTCAGCCCACCAGCTGGGAATCCCGGGGAACTCTGGGCACCCTAACCACTGGGTGGCAGCACAGCTCTGAGGCCCCTCACAACAATAAACAGCCTCCTGCACATTGGCCCTCGGCGCAGCCCCACCATAGAGGAGCAACAACCTGAGACTGGCCACGCCCACAGCAGCACACAGAGCTGCCTCCATAGCCACCTGGGCCAGACTAAGAGGCCCCATTGGTGCACAGCTGCCCAGCACAAGCCACTAGATGTGCCCAGCACATCTAACAAGATGCAGGAGAGGAAGGCAACAAGCAAGCGGGAAGGGACTTTGTTCTCCCAGCTGACACGAGCCAACTGCCTACAACTACCTCTATTGCCATGAAAAGGCAGAAGAATTTGATACAGACAAGAATATCCCAGACATCCCCTGAGAGGAAATCTGGAGAGATAGGTTTAACCAATCTTCCTGAAAAAGAATTCAAAATAAAAGTTATAACCATGCTGATGGAGTTGCAGAGAAAAATGCAAGAGGTAATGGATAAAGTTGGGAGGGAGAATACAGAAAT